CTCGCGCAGCCGAGCTCCCCGGCGGCTCCCGGCGCCGCGGGCGCCCGCGCGGCGAGGAAGGCGCCCCGCGGCGGTGGCCGAGGCCGGCTGCACGCAGCAGGCGGAAGGAACCCAAGGCCACACAAACAAACACACACACACACAGAGGATAAGTGCGGATAAGTGCGGGCCAAAACGGATCACGACCGCCTACGCTTTCGCGCCGTGGGCCGCCTGGCCGCGGCGGGCCGCCCCCGCGCCAACCAGACAGCCTGGGGGAAGCAGATTTCTCCACTCCCTTCGCCTTCTCGCACAAGCCCCCACTGCAGCGTTGTAGCTAAAATGAACTCGCTCGAGACTATTTTTTTCTCCAGCCTCGCCGCCCGCTTCTCGCGAGTCGCTGGCCCAGAGCTCGCACGCCGTGGCAGCACGCTACCACTGCCTGCTTCTCGCACGCACGCTTGGGCAGCCCCGCTGCCACTGCCTGCTTGCTTTCCCCTTTTCGCACGAGTGGGTATCCTCCACTCCTGCTCTCGCACAACGGGCTGATCTCTGCACTGTAACTGAGGGTAGCTCGTCCGTGCCCTGCCCTTTCGCCCAGGGCCCGTTCGTTGGCCCATGCACTAGATAGAGTCGGGCTCCAACTTTGCCTCCCGCTTCTCCCAGCACGCTGTGGTGGCTAGGAAGGTGACGTTTGGCTCCAGCTTTGCCTCCCTCTTTTCGCAGCGACTTGCCCCGATCCCAACGCTGTAGCTGGCGACGTCGGGCTCTGCCTTCGCCCCCCACTTCTCGCAGGATGGCGCTCTTCTCGCACCCACTGTTCCCAGAGGTGTTAGCTAGATGGCGTGCGGCTCCAGCTTTCCTTCCCTCTTCTCGCAGCGGCTTGCCCAGATCCCAACGCTGTAGCTGACGGCGTCGGGCTCTGCCTTCGCCTCCCACTTCTCGCAGGATGGCGCTCTTCTCGCACACACTGTTCCCAGAGGTGTTAGCTAGATGACATTTGGCTCCAGCTTTGCCTCTCTCTTCTCGCAGCGGCTTGCCCAGATCCCAACGCTGTAGCTGACGACGTCGGGCTCTGCCTTCGCCTCCCACGTCTCGCAGGATGGCGCCCCCCTGCGCCGCGGCAGAACATTGCTCGCTGTTCTCTCGCGCACTGTTCCCAGAGGCGTTAGCTAGAGGAGACACTCGGGCTCCAGCTGCTCCCCGCTTCTCGCAGGCCCTCCTTCTCGCACGGACGACTCCCAGCGTTGCCGCTGATCGTGGCCCACCCGCGCACTTTGCACAGCGCCAGCGTCCGCTGCCACTGCGCGCTCCTTTTCTCGCACGGATTGCTCCCAGCGTTGTATCTGATCGTGGCCCACCCGCGCCTTCGTCCCTCTCGCAGCGCCAGCTCTGGCTGCCACTGCTTGCTTTCTCGCAGCCTTCCAGGGGGAGGATGAGGGCCAAGGCCATCGGGCTCTAACTTCAGCTCCCCCTTCTCGCAACCGTTTTCTCGCAGCGCCAGCGTCCGCTGCCACTGCTTGCCCCCCTTCTCGCACGGGTCGCTCCCAGCGCTGTAGCTGATCGTAGCCCACCCGCACGCTTTGCAGCGCCAGCGTGTGCTGCCACTGCGCGAACCCTTCTCGCACGGACTGCTCCAAGCGTTGTAGCTAATCGTGGCACATCCGTTTGTGCTCGCTTTTCCCTCGATCCCAGCACTGTAACTGGTCACGTCGGGCTCTACCTTCGCCTCCCGCTTCTCGCAGCGCTGTAGCTGCTGACGTCGGGCTCGTCCTTCGTCTTCTCGACGGATTGCCTGCACTCTGACCGCGGCGCCGCAACTGTTGGCGCCCCGGTTTGCCAGGAGGTGGAGGAGGGGGAGGAAGGAGCGGAGGAGGGGGCGGAGGGGGGCGGGCTTCCTGGCGGCTGCGCGCTCGTCTGGTCTCAGCGTTGCAGCTGATGACGTTGGGCTCCGCGCTGCTTCTTGACTGAGGCCTGGCCTCAGCATTTCTTCTTTACGGCTCAGGCGCGCAATGCCACTTCGAAGTTGGCGCGCCGCATCGTCCAGGAGGCCCGGTGCAGGGGAGGCCGCTCGGACGCGAAATGGCTACACACAGAGGAGGAGGAGGAGGAGGAGGAGGAGGAGGAGGAGGAGAAGAAGAAGGAAGAGGAGGATGAGGAGGAGGAGGAGGAGGAGGAGAACCCCAGGAGTCCCCCATAGTCTCCCACATCTTCCGGGGCTTCGTCCTCCCCTCCCCCCCACGCTTCCCTTCTTTTCCAACAGGTCCCTGGGGATCGGCGATTCCTTGTGCCTGTGCTTTCTTCCCTCCTGGCAGACTTTGCACACCCCCCTCCAGTCCTTCCCCTTCTCCTCCTCCTCCTCCTCCACCTCCTCCTCCTCCTCCTCCCTCCTCCTCCGCCTCCCCCCTTCTCCTCCTCCCTCCTCCTCCTCCTCCTCCTCCCTCCTCCCTCTCCTCCTCCTCCATCCTCCACTTCCTCCTCCTCCTCCTCCTCCTCCTCCTTCCTCCTCCTCCTCCTCCTCCTCCTCCTCCCTCCTCCTCCTCCTCCTCCTCCTCCTCCTCCTCCTCCTCCTCCTTCTCCTCCTCCTCCTCCCTTGCCCCCCTCCCCCCTCTCCCAGTCCTTCCCCCCCTCCTCCCCCGGCCCGACGGCGCCCGCCCCCCCGGGGGCGGGGTGCGCGGGCCACGGCGCAGTTCCCCCGACCTGGAGACATCGATCCGCCACCGCCTCGGCTCGGCTCGGAAAACGGCTCGCCTCGATCCCGAGCCGCATCGATCGGGCGTCTGGTGATTCGGGGGGAGACCATGAATGGGGAGTGAAGAGAAGGGCCCCAAGAGTGTCCCTTCAGGGCCATCTTCTTCACCCCCCACCAAGGTCACCCCACCATCTCGTCTCGGTTCGGAAAACGGCTCGGCTCGACCTGCGACCATCGCCCCGAGCCGCATCGATCGGGCGTCTGGCGATCGGGAGTGACCCTAATGTTAGGTCAGGCACGTGCCCCTACATGCGGGTATTGCAGGGAAAATCAAAGATTGAACCTTATGGAGGGACAAGTCGTCCCCAGGCTATGTCTGGACTACTTTTGAACACTCCTCCTGTAGAGGGACGTGCCCTTCGTGGGCCCCGGAAACGGCAGGGCCGTTTTTTCACCGTTTTCAAAAAAATGTCCCTTGAAAATGGAAACGGCAAAAAAAACGGCGACCGGAAACGGCAAAAACACGCTCCAGGATTGGAACCCGAACCGGAACCGGTCAAAAAACGGCGACGGAACTGGCCAAAAAACGGCGTCGGAACCGGCAAAAAAATGGCAAAACGGAACCGGTAAAAAAACGGCCCTGTCGTTTCCAGGGCCCACTAAGGACGTGCCCGACTCAATCCGAATGGGGAGTGAAGAGATGGGCCCCAAAGTGCCCCTTGAGGGCCCTCTGCTTCACCCCCCAGTAAAGTCACCTCCCAGTACCACCCGCCCGAATCGAGATCGGACCGCCGCACGAGCTCGTCCTTCTCTCCACGAGAGGCTCGCCAACAAATCGCCCCGAGCCGCACCGAGATCGGACCACCGCGCGAGATCGTCCTTCTCTCCACGAGAGGTTCGCCAACAAATCGCCCCGAGCCGCACCGAGATCGGACCGCAGCGCGACATCGTTCTTCAATCCATGGGTGGTTTGCCAGAAGATCGCCCCGGACCGAACCGAGGTCGGACCGCCGCGCGAAATCGTTCTTATATCCATGGGTGGTTTGCCACCAGATCGCCCCAAACCGAACCGAGTTCGGACCGCAACGCGAGATCGTTCTTCTATCCATGGGTGGTTCGCCACCAGATGGCCCCGAACCGAACCGAGGTCGGACCGCCGCGAGAGATCGTTCTTCTATCCATGGATAGATTGCCAACAAATCGCCCCGAGCCGCACCGAGATCGGACCACCGCGCGAGATCGTCCTTCTCTCCACGAGAGGTTCGCCAACAAATCGCCCCGAGCCGCACCGAGATCGGACCGCCGCGAGAGATCGTTCTTCAATCCATGGGTGGTTTGCCAGCAGATCGCCCCGAACCGAACCGAGATCGGACCACCGCGCGAGATTGTTCTTCCATCCATGAGTGGTTCGCCAGCGAATCGCCCCAAACCGAATCGAGATCGGACAGCCGCGCGAGACCGCTCTTCTGTCCATGGGCGGCTCGCCAGCGAATCGCCCCGAAACGCACCGAGATCGGACAGCCGCGCAAGGTTTTTCTTATCCATGGGTGGTTCGCCAGCGAATCGCCCCGAACCGAATCGAGATCGGACAGCAGCGCGAGACCGTTCTTTTATCCATTGGTGGTAATGCATCTTACGCGGGGGGCTGCGGCGTGCAGCCCCCGAGGCGCGCCCGCGGCACCGGCGCAGCAGCCGCCTTTGTGCACCACAATCTCTGCGTGCACAACAACGCATGCGTGCACTACAGCGCCTGCGTACATCACAGTGCCTCTGTACACCCTAGCAACTGCGTGCACCATATCACCACGTCGCCTGTGTACACGCGTGCCTCTGTGCACCGCAGCAGCCCTGTGCGCAATAGCGCATGTGTACACCCCCCGTGCATGCGTGCACCAGATCGCTTTTGCACACCACGGAGCCTGCACCCATCACAGCAGCCGATTGCACCACAACGTAAATGGACACCTCAGTGCCTGCGTGCACCAGAACGCTTGTGTACACCACAGCGCCTGTCCGCACCATGGCAGCCGCGTGCACCACAGTGCCTGTGCACACCCAGAGCCTGCGTGCACATCAGCGCCTGTGCACAACGCAATGCCTGTGCATACCACAGCAGCCATGTGCATCGCAGCGCTTGTGTTACACCACAGTGCCAGCGTACACCATAGTGCATGTGTGCACCACAGCGCATGCGTACCAACGCGCCTGCGTGCACTACCAGCTGCTGCAGCAGCGGCAACAGTTTGACCCACAGCACCCACATGTCTGTACACCACACTGCCTGCGCACCTTCGGAAACCTGCAAACCACCTTGGTCGTCTTCGTCCTCCTACTGCTCTTCCTCCTCCTCCTCCTCCTCCTCCTCCTCCTCCTCCTCCTCCGCCCCCTCCTCCTCCTCCTCCTCCTCCTCCTCCTCCTCCTCCTCCTCCTCCAACTCCGCCTCCTCCTCCTCCTCTTCATCCTCCTCCTCCCCCTCCTCCTCCTCCTCC